GCTTGAGCATGTGGCCAACAACTGTCCGGAACTGCTTCATCTCAATCTTGCCTCAAACAAGTTTGTATCACAGTTTTAAGAATAAACGTTGTGGTTTGGTTATTATGTGTATTTGCAGAATTGGAAAAGTGGAGGATCTGGCACCCCTAAAAAAACTTAAACTGGCCGAGTTGGATCTGTTCAACAACCCGGTAACAGAAGGGGCGGCAGAAAGTGAATACAGGTATGAGTGCTTTCTTCATTTTTTTGATAGCATTTATTCGTATTTCGTTGAGTGGATATTATAACGTTAAGATCTAAAGTATTCGAAGCAATTCCATCTTTGCAAATTCTCGATGGAGCCGATATAAATGGCGAAGAGGTTGATGATTCGCTCGATGGAGAGGTATGGAAATAGATTTCTTGTAGTTTTGGCAGACTCACACCATTACAAGTATCTGTGTAATAGCGTAATTATGAATTTTGAAAGTCATTAGCTAGAGGAATCTCTGGATACAGCTTAAGACAGATTTTTAGATTACATAAGGTAGTTTGCTAGAAAGCGAAATCTATTACCACCTTCACATCAAATATGTAAATGTTCATATACCCTAGTAGCAACTAGATTAGCTTATAAACTCCGATTGTATGATAAGAAAGGGATCTGATTGCTAAAAATTAAAAACAGTAATAGGTTTCCAAATTAATCAATTAACATAACACCAACACATACCTAAAACAAACACGAAGTTGGACCATCCCAGAACTTTTACATTACAACTAAACTTAATATCTAGGATGATTTGGGTGATGAAGATAGTGGAGACGAGTCTGGCTCTGACATTGATGGACCTGGATTGAGCTATTTGGACAACAGCCAACTCGTAAGTTTGAATATTCTCTTGATACAAAACTAATGTCTCTTCACTGCTAATCTTTCCCTTAGGATGAAGATGAATCGGAAGAGTACAAGCCATCTGACCCAGAGGTCAGTGGCGAAGATGCAGCAAAAAGAGGTCTCAAAAGACGCAATGAAGGAACCAATGGTGGAGAGGGGGATGTAAAGAAGAAAGCTGATGAGTAGATGCGGCTGCAAGATTTCCAGATTCTCTTCTACTCCTTCCTTCCTTACGTCACCGCGCAATAACTTTCCAAATTAGAATCCTCAC